CTCTATATATGTTGTCTATTTCTTTTGTTGTGCAGAAGCTTTTTTAGTTTGATATAACCACATTTGTGCATTTTTGTTTTTATTACTTGTGCCTTCAGATATCAAAATAATAATTGTCCAGACTAATATCAAGGAGCTCTTCCCTCTGTTTTCTTTCAATAGTCTTAAAGTCTCAGATCTTATGTTTTAAGTCTTTAATCCATTTGAGTTGATATTTGTGGCAGTCTAACCAATATCCCCAGCAATCATTAATGAATACACACACCGTCCTTTCCCCACTGTGTGGCATACAATGTGTTGGAAATCAATTGACCATAAATGTGAGGGTTTATTTTTAGGCTTTCTATTCTGTTCCATTGGTTAATGTATTCATTTTAATGCCAGTTCCATGTTGGGGTTGTTTTTGTTTTGTTTTCTGGTACTGGAGAGCAAACTCAGGACCTTGCATATGCTAGACAAGCACACTGCCACTGAGCTATGGCCCCAACCCTGCCATGTTGATTATAACTGCTTTATTAAATAGATTGAAATCAGGGGGATGTGATGCCTCCAGCTTTGTACTTTTTTCCCCTTGTGATACTGGGAATTGGACATACACTTGCTTTGTGCATAGTAGGCAAGTGCTCTACTACTGAGTCATATCCCCATCCCTTCACCTCTTATTTTTGACACAGGGTGTGGCTAAGTTGTCCAGGCTGGTCTCAAACCTGCCATCCTCAGCCTCCTAAGTAGTTGGAATTATAGGCATTTGCCACTACATCTGATCTACCATGGTAAACTTTTTAATAACTTTATCAACATATAAATTACATACAATGCAATTCATAAAATAAAGATATGTAATTCAATGGGTTTTTAGTATATTCACAAATATACATGACCATCACCATAGTCACTTTTCAAACATTTCCAACATTTCAAAGAGACAACCCCTTAATAAAAAGACACTCTAGGTCGTGGCTCAGTGGTAGAGCACTCGCCTCACATGTATGGAGCACTGGGTTTGATCCTCAGCACCACATAAAAATAAATAAAAGTATTGTGTCCATCTACAACTAAAAAAATAAACAAATAAAATTATTTTTTAAAAAAAGACATCAATGTGAACCATTCTGCTATCAACCTCCTATCTTTCTATCCATCAGAGCCCAAAGCAACCACTAACGTATTTTATTTACCTACTGTTGAAATTCAGTGTAAACAGAATCATATAATCAAGTTGTACCATGTTTTGGATATTTTAAATGGCCAAATAATATTCCACTGTATTTTATTTTTATCAGTTTATCACTTGATGATCATTTAGATTGTTTAACTTTTTTTTAAATTTTTTAGTTGTTAATGGACCTTTTTTTATTCATTTATTTATATGTGGTACTCAGAATCGAACCCAGTGCCTCACACGTTAGGCAAGCACTCTACCACTGTGCCATGATTCTAGCCCCAGTTGTTTAACTTTTGATTATTATGAATAATGCTATTCACACATCAAGTTTCATGTAAACATGTTACAGTTTATTTGTAGGTACCTAATGACTGACAGTTTTGAGCACCTTTTTAAAAATTTTTTCTTAATATTTTTTAGTTGTAGTTGGACACAATACCTTTATTTTATTTATTTATTTTTATGTGGTGTTGAGGATCGAACCCAGAACCCCACACGTGCCAGGCAAGCACTCTACCACTGAGCCACAACCCCAGCCCCAGTTTTGAGCATCTTTCTTTTTTTATTTTTTTTTTAAGTTTTAGGTGGACACAATATCTTTATCTTACATTTACATGGTGCTGAGGATCAAACCCAGCGCCTCGTACATGCTAAGCAAGCACTCTACCTCTGAGCCACAATGCCAGCCCCCAGTTTTGAGCATCTTTACAGGCTTATAGATCATTTTTACATCTCCCTTGGAGAAATACCTATTTAGATATTCTGTCCACATTTTAATTGGGTTATTTATATTTTTATTATTGAGTTGCAAGAGTTTAGTCCCTTGTTTTAGATATAAATATATATGAGTTACAAATATTTTTTAACATTTGGTGGACTGTCCTTTCACTTTCTTAATTGTGCCCTTCAGCACAAGTTTAAACACTAAAATTCAATTTATTTTGTTTCCTATTCTTACTTGTGTTTTTGTCATATCTAACAATCCATTCCAAATCCAAGGTCCTGAAAATTTCCTGATATATTTTGTTCCCCAAAATGGTTTATAATTTTGTTTGTTTTATTTAGGTCTTTGGTTGATATTGAGTTAATTTTTGTATATGGTGGTAGAATAGTTACCAACTTCATTCATTTGCATATGAATAGCTAGCTGACCTGACAAAATGTGTGCAAAAGACTATTCTTTCTCCATTAAATATTATTGATACCCTTGTTGAAAATGAATTGAAATAAACCCAAATACACATGGGTTTAGTTCTTCACTATCAATTCTATTCCACTGAACTTTAGGCAGATACTACACTGTCTTGATTACTGGTGCTCTGCAGCTAAGTTTTAAAATTGGCAAACATAAATTAATCTTAATTTTTTGTTCTTTTTCAGTTATTTTAGCTTCCTTTAAAAAAAGCTCCAGGGCTGGGTTGTGGCTCAGTGGTAGAGTGCTTGCCTGGCATGTGTGAGGTAGTGGGTTCAATCCTCAGCACCACATAAAAATAAATAAATAAAATAAAAGTCATCTATAACTAGAAATATTTAAAAAAAAGAAGAAGAAAAAGAAAAGACAAAGAAGAAGAAGAAGCCAGGCACAGTTGCTCACACCTGTAATCCCAGTAGCCTAGAACACTAAGACAGGAGGATCGTGAGTTCAAAGCCAGCCTCAGCAACTTACCAAGGCACTAAGCAACTCAGTGAGACCCTGTCTCTAAATAATATACAAAATAGGGATAGGGATGTGGCTCAGTGGTGGAATGCCCCTGAATTCAATCCCTGGTATGAAAAAAAAAGGAATAAAAAAAGAAAGAAAAAAAGAGAAAGAAAGAAAGTTCCATATAGCTTTCAGAATGTAAGTTTTATAATTTTTTTTTTTTTTTTTTGGTGGAGGTGGGTTACTGGGAATTGAATTCAGGGGGCACTCAACCACAGAGCCAAATCCCCAGCCCCTTTCCATATTTTATTTAGAGATGGTGCCTCGCTATTGCTGAGGTTAGCTCTGAACTCACAATCCTCCTGCCTCAGCCTCCTGAGCTACTGGGATTACAGGCATACACCACTGTGCCCAGCAAGTTTTATACTTTTTATTCTTTATTTGTTTTAATTTTTATTTAATTTTTGGGTACCAGGGATTGAACTCAGGGGCACTTGACCACTGAGCCACATCCCCAGCCCTATTTTGTATTTTATTTAGAGACAGGGTCTCCCTGAGTTCTTAACACCTCACTTTTGCTGAGGCTGGTTTTGAACTTGTGATCTTCTTGCCTCAGCCTCCCAAGCCGCTAGGATTACAGGCATGCGCCACAGTGCCCAGCTACTTTTTATTTTTTAATTGCAGTACTGTAGATCGAACCCAAGGCCTTAGGTATTAACCTACATCCCTTTTACTGTTTTTTTGGGACAGGGTCCTTCTAGATTGCTAAGGCTGACCTTGAACTTGCAATCCTCCTATCTCAGTTTCCTGTGTGCCTGGGATTACAGGCATGTGATACAGTACCCAGTTTAGATTTCCTAAATTTATTACTAAATAAAGTCATGTGTCGCTTAAGGATGGAAATCTGAGAAATACATGGTTAGGCAATTTCAACACTGTGCAAACATCATAGTTTACTTACACAAACCTAGATGGTATAGCCTACTATTCACCTTGGATAAGGGAATATATAACCTATTACTTCTAGGCTACAAACGTTTATAGCATTTTACTGTATTGAATACTGTAGGCAAAGATAGGTGCAGTGGTACACACCCATAATCTCAGTGACTCAGGAGGCTGAGCAGAGGAATCTCAAGTTCTAATCCTGCATGGGCAACTTAGCAAGACTCTTGTCTCAAAAAGAAAAATAACAAGGATGGGAGATGTAGTTCAATCCCTAGTACTACAAAAAATATTGAAGGCAACTGTAACACAATGATAATATTTCTGTACTAAACATTAAAAAGGCATAGAAAAATTGACATAAAAGATAAAAATGAAAAAGATCTTTATAGAAAATAAAAGAAATAATGTCTGGTTAAAAAAAGAAGATAAAAATGGGTGTTGGAATGGTATTAGCATATGTAATACCTTGGATTCAATCCACAGCACTGCCCAAAAAAAGATTAAAAAAAATAATAATAACATACTATGAGCTAGTCATGATAGCACACGTCTGTAATCCCAATATTTCAGAAGGTTAAGGAAGGAGAATCACAAGTTCAAGGCCATTACTGTCAACTTAGTTAGAACTTGTCTCAAAATAAATAAAATAAAAAGGGCTGGGGATGTTGCCTAGTGGTAGAGTCCTGCTGAAGTCAATCCCCAGTACCAAAAAAAATTTTTTTTTCCCCAAACAGTTGCTTTTGTCTAGTTGTCCTATTCACTGAAACAACAGACATAATAAAAAGAATGTGAACTTTGGAGTCAGAGAAACCAGAGTCTACATGGCTGGTTTACAAATTCCTACTAGTAAAAACTTGGAAAAGTTAGATCCTTTAAAAGTCTCAGTTTCTACCTCTGTAAAACGGGGATCTCAAGAAGTTAACTTAAGGATCATGAGAGCCAAATGAAAAATTGAATACAAAGCACCATAATAAGAAAAGTGAATTATAAACACAATATACATAGTAGTTACATTCTGAAATTATTTTCATTTCTTTGGGCAGGAGGAAGCAGCTCATTTTATAATACTTCATTTATTCCTAACTCAATACCAAGGACAAAAATAGGTGGCTCTTAAAACCATTAAGAGACCTTGGCAACCCTCAGTTACAGGTTTAGAAGATGGATAGAAGCATACTTTTCAGCTCCAACCACCTGCCCATATAATGCAAAAATGTTAAAGAGAAAAGACCAATATACTCTTACCTTGCAGGCCACATCAACTAATCGTGTCTGAATAGCTTGATTCTCTGGCAATTTAGTGCCAATTGCAAGCAAAGTGTCCAGGAGTTGAGCTAGGACTTGATGAGACTCTAGAAAAGAAGAAAAGTTGGATTTCAGAATCTCAAAAGGAGATCAAACAGAAACTAATTTACTTTGTTAAAGAATTCAGATTTAGCTGGGTGAGGGGATCCACACATATAATTCCAGCTGTTTGGGAGGCTAAGGGAGGTGGATTAGAAGTTTGAGACCAGCTTAGCCAACTTACATGAGACTTTCTCTCAAAAATTTTTTTTGAATTTAAAAAAAAAATATTGGGTATGCAGCTCAGTGGCACAGTGGGTTCTATCCCCAGTACTGCGTAAATAAAGCAAAAAGCACTAAGGTGTAGCTCAGTGGTAGAGAGGTTGCCTAGCATGGGCAAGGCCCTGGGTTTAATAGCTAGATCCAAAAATAAATAAACAAACAAAGAGCCAAATCCAAGTTTCTTATGCAGATTATCTTCTTTGTCTAATTGTTCTTTCATGTTCCAAAATATGGGTCTTATGATTTATAAGAGGATTTTTAGGTAGCAGTCAGGTGATCAGTTTTATATTAATAATTATTTTATGTAAATAATTTAGTTTACAGAAAAATTGCAGTTACAATTGACATATGCCACTGTTTTATGTTACTAATGTCAAAATTCTCTTTAAATTTAGTTTGTGAAACAATTAATTCATTTAACAAAAATGTAAAATCATAATTTAGATTTCATGAAGCAAATATTGTCCACAATGGCATGCATGATATATAAATTATTAAGTCTTGGGAAACACTGATTAAATCACTTCTTAGTTAAAAATTCCAGTAATAGTACATTGAACATATCTGTTTACTCTTTCCTAAAACTAACATAAGAGTAACATATTCTTACTAACATAAGAGAAAAGAAAGTAAAAGGGGAGAAACCTGAAAGACTAATGAAAACAGAAGAAAAAAGGTAAACAGGTGAGGAAAGTCCACAAAATTTTCAGAGGGAGAAATTGAAAACTAATAGAAATAGAAAACTAATAGTAAATATCTGAGATAGGTATCACTACAAAGCAAATAAATTCTAGTTATATCACCCCAAAAAGGCTCATTTAAAAAAAGGTGTGGTGGTACACACCTGTAATTCCAGCAATTTGGAGGCTGAGGCAGGAGGATTGCAAGTTCGCAGCCAGTCTCAGCAACTTAACAAGCCCTAAACAACTTAGCAAGAATCTGTCTCAAAATTAAAAAAACAAAAAGGTCTGGGATTATAGCTCAGTGGTAAATCATCCCTGGGTTAATCCAGTACCAAAAAACAAACAAATAAACAAAAAACGATGATGAGGCAGGGATTTGCTTGACATCTCTGTAGGAAACAGTTCAATCCCTGGTCCTTACCTGTCTTACACAGAAGTGATCACTGAAACATTTATTCTGTACAGAAAATGAACCAGAAAGAATGCAACTTGGGGGGATACCTTCTGAGGACAAGGAAGAGACAGAGGGAAGAACAGAAGATTAAGAGAGAGTAGACATACCAAATCATAAAATGCTCCCTCCCACCTTCCCCCAAACCTCCCTTCAACTGCTTTGGCTCCAAGAACACAGGCTTCCTCCTAGGAGATTCACAAACATCTAATTGCAAAAACTTACGGACCCAGGAAAAAACACCAACAAAAAACTAACACTTAACAGTCCTCCAAAGACATGCAGAAAGATCCTATAGTCGAAGTTACAGTTGAAAAGTCTTATTCTTGTATATAAGACTACCCATCAGGTTTTTCTTTTTTTTAATATTTATTATTTTTTAGTTTTTTAGGTGGACACAATATCTTTATTTTATATTTATGTGGTGCTGAGGATCGAACCCAGTGCCTCATGCATGCTAGGCGAGCACTCCACCACTAAGCCACAATCCCAGCCCCTACCCATCAGGTTTTCATGCCTCATCTTAAATTTAAATGCAACATCAAAGATAACCAAGAAAAACCACAGGGTACAGTGGCACACTCCTGGAATCCCAGTGGCTCGGGAGGTTGAGGCAGGAGGATCCTGCCTGAACTCAAAGTCAGCCTCAGCAACAGCAAGGTGCTAAGCACCTCAATGAGACCCTATCTCTAAATAAAATATAAAATAGGGCTGGGGATGTGGCTCAGTGGTTGAGTGCCTAAGTTCAATCCCAGGTACCAAAAAAAAGAAAGAAAACTCACAATTCCTTCTGAGGGAGGGAGGAAGGACAGCATCATGCAGTGGTTCACACCTATAGTCCCAGCAACTAGGAGGCTGAGGCACAAGAATCACAAGTTCAAGACCAACCTCTATAGCAAGACTCTGTCTCAAAATAAAAAAGGGGAGGTATGGGGACACAGCTCAGTGGTACAATCTCCTGGGTTCAATCCCCAGTACCAACCAACCAAACAAAAAATACTAAAAACAAAACAAAAAAAGCCCTCAATATAAAAGAAGGCACAAAGAAAAAGATAGGAAATGAAGACATCTCTAACACCACCTTTTAATTTATTTCTTCAGAATTAACTTCCATGAAATGTTAGCAAAGGGAACTGAAGGTCTAACTCAGTAGTAGAGTGCTTGCCTAGCATGCACAAGGCCTGAGTTCAATTCCTAGCATGGAAAAAAAGTGGGGTGGGGGAGAAAAGCTAGTTAAAGCTTTTGAAGCCTCTGACTTACCTCTGACAAATCAGAAATCTAATTTAAATCTTTAGTCTCTCTCCTGAATTTCTGATCTGCATAACTTGTCCATCTCCACATGGACAATAAATGATACCTCAATATCACCAAACCTAATTGCTCAGAATTGCCAAATTCTTTCTAAAATTAGACTTGATAATTTTATGCCGGTGCTCAAAAAACTTTACATGGTTCCACTGCCTACAAAATAACATTCAAATTCCTCAGCACTCAAGACCACCCTTTGGCTTCAAAACAGTTTACCATTCATTCTCTGGTGATCTTATATAAAACTGTTCAGTTCTTAGCCAGACCCCGTGACACATGCCTGTAGTCCCAGCAACTTGGGAGGCTGAGGCAAGAGGATCCAATATTTGAAGCCAGGCTCAGCAACTTTGTAAGGCCCTAAGCAACTTAGCAAGACCCTGTTTCAAAATAAAAAAGTAAAGAACCAGGCTGGGGTTGCAGCTCAGTGTAAGAGTGCTTGCCTAGCATGTGTGAGGCACTGGGTTTGATTCTCAGCACCACATACAAATAAATAAAATAAAGGTCTATCAACAACTAAAAAGTAAAAATAAATAAATAAAAAGTAAATAACCCCTGGGTTTAATCCCCAGTACCAAAAAACAAAACAAAACAAAAACTTATTTAGTTATTTAAATATCTCTTGTATTTTCCCAACTCTCTGCCTAGTAGTATCATAATGTTGTCTTTCCTTGTCATAACTTTCCCATCTGACTTTTAAACCCACCTCGTCTCTCAGCCTTTCTAGAATCATATCAGTTAGCACTGATCTCACCCTCTGCTCTGCTCCCACAATACTAATTATACTTACTATAAAACATACTTTGTGTGTGTTTTAATAGGCAACAGAGAGGTAGATATATACAACACTTTCAAAGTACCTACTCTAGTGTTTGCCAAGAAGTCAAAGGCCTCATATATGTACAAAAATGAAATGGAAAATCTTTGGTCCACAATGTGCATCATGGGCTGGGGGTATAGCTAAGTGGTAGAGTGCTTGCCTAGCATGCACAAAACCCTGGTTCAATCCCAGCACCACTCCAAAAACAAAAGCAAACAAAACAATGTGCATTACATTCTTGGAATTAAAAGTACATACTAGACTGAATAATCAGGAAACTCAATCCTAAATCTATGATTTTAGCAGTCACTTTATCTCACTGTTTTTCACTTTCCTCATCTACAAAATAAAAAGCTTTAACTAGATCATCTCTATGGTCCCTGGGCTCTATCTTCTATGCATCTCAGTGTGCCAGGAACTTGAAACCCAGAAAAGACCTACATCAAGTCTCTTAGAGACAATTATGAAACAGAATTAGAAAGCTTAGCAAAAAACAAAATAGCCATTTGCCATGAATATCACATAATCTAAGTCCCTTTCTTTTAAAGATTAGAATGAGGTTTTCTTCAAAATATTTTCTTTCTCTCTCTGTGCTGAGCACAGTGTGCAGAGGATTACAAATTCAAAGCCAATCTTGGTTAGTGAGAGTGTCTCAAAATAAGATTTAAAAAGGGATTGGGGATGTACCTCAATGGCAGACTACCCTGAATTCATTCCCCAGTGCCACAACCACAAAAAAAATAAATAAAATAAAATAAAAAATAAACAAACAAACAAAAAACTGTCTCTCTCTTATGCTTCTATTTTGGAGGTAAGCATTTTAGTTAAAGCCTGGTGTATATGAAAAATCACTGTATCAAGTTCTCAGTTCTACTACTACTCAGCTAAATAAACCAACTCATTTCCACCTCTATGGACGTAGTTTCTGTCATCCACAGGAATTAGACAAGATGATTTCTATAAGGTCATCATAGTTCAAAAACTCTATGGAACACTCACTCTTAAAATATGGAGTTCTTCCATGACCTGTACCATGAAGTTGCTTGGCTAACTTTTCTACCTAGAATGTTTTCCCCTATACCTGACTTGATCCTCAATCCCACCCACAGCAAGCACCTACTAACCCTTGAACTGTCATCTCCCATGCAGGTATTAGAGGAAATATTTATGGGAAAAAGAAAAAAGATACTTCTCTTTTGAGTCAATGTAATTGTTTCCATGCTTTAAAAAAATGTGCCCGATGAAACAAGACCATTCAGTTGTAAGTTGAAGCATAAACTGAATTAATTCATTTGAAAAGCAATATGGTAAAATATAGCAAGGGTCATTAATATTAGTATGTTTGAACTCTCTTGTTCAATAATTTCCTTCTTAGAAATTTATCCTAAGAGGGCTGGGGTTGTGGCTCAGTGGTAGAGTGCTCACCTAGCATGTGTGAGGCACTGGGTTTGATCCTCAGCACCACATAAAAATGAAATAATGGAATTGTGTCCACCACCTAAAAAATTGTGTCTACCACCAGCTAAAGATAAATATAAAAAAAAGAAAAAAATTTATCCTAAGAAACAACAGAAATTGACTCTATTTTTTTTTTTTGCAACTAGCTAATAACAACCAAAAAAATTATACACGTGGTGTTTAATATGTTATCAACACCACAAATATTATGATGGTATATAGAAACATGGAAAAAACTCCATATAACAAAACACAAAATTGTACATTTACTAAGTACAGTCACATAAATTGTATATAAGTGAAAAGTAATATGTAAAATGAAATAAGTTGTTTGACAGAAAGAGGAGGAATATCTTTTATTTCTTATATGCCAATTGTTGGCATTTCAATAAAATAGATCTCTCCTGAAGGGGCAGGGAAGATTCATTGTTTTTGCAAATGAAAAATGAAATCAAAATTCAATACAAGTAAAATTTTAGTTTGAAATTTTTTCTTATAAAATTCTCAGCTTTGACCAATGACTTATCTTTATTACCATTAAACAGTTGTGCAATAAGTGTTAAGATCTTTATTATCATTAAACAGTTGTATAATAAATGAATCTAGATAGTCTAAATTAATCTCTTATATTTTCAGAATCTCTTTAAGATTCAAATATTTATACCCTAAAAGAAATAAAACTGAGGCTGGGATTGTAGCTCAGTGGTAGAGTGCTTGCCTCACATGCATGAGGTCCTGGGTTCGATCCTCAGAACTACATAAATAAATAAAAAAATAAAGATATTATGTCTATCTACAACCAAAAAATATATATATTAAAAAAAAAAAAGAAAAGAAATACAACTATTCTTTGGCCAGGCATGGTGTGGTGCCCGCCTGTAATCCCAGGCTGAGGCAGGAGAATTGCAAGTTCAAAGCCAGCCTCAGCAATTTAGCAAGGTGCTAAACAACTCAGTGAGACCCTGTCTCTAAATAAAATATAAAAAGGGATGGGGGTGTGACAAGTTGTTAAGCGCCCTTGGGTTTACTCCCTGGTACCAAAAAAAATAAAAATAAAAAGCAATAAAACTATGCCTATAATCCCAGAACTTTAGGAGACTGAGGAATGAGGATCACAAGCACAAGGCCAGTCTCAGCAACTTAGCAAGAACCTGTCTCAAAATAAAAGTAAAAAGAGCTGGAAATGTGCCTAGTTGTGAAGGACTCTGGGTTTAATTCCTATTATGGTTAAAAAAAAGGAGAGAAAAAGGGAGATAAGACTGTATTTAATTCTCAGGTAAATATATGTACATGGTTTTATTAAATCATCCTCATATTCCTTTTGAATAACAACCAACATAAACATTTATTCTTAAATTTTATACAAACTGGGCGCAGTGGTGCACACCTGTAATCCCAGCAGAGCCTGGGAGGCGGAGGCAACAGGATCATAAGTTCAAAGCCAGGCTGAACAACTTAGCAAGGCTCTAAGCAACTAGAAGACTCTATCTCTAAATAAAATATAAAAAGAAAGCTGGGGATGTGGATCAGTGGTTAAGTGCCTCTGGATTCAATCCTCAGTACCAAAAAAATAAAATTTTATTCAAAAGGGCCAGGTGTAGTGGTGCATGCCTGCAATCCTAGTGACTCAGGAGACTGAGGCAAAAGGATCACAAGTTCCAGGCCAGCCTCAGCAACTAAGTGAGGCCCAGTATAACTTAACAACACCCTGTCTCAAAGAATAGATAAAAATGGGCTGGAGATGTGACTCAAGCGGTAGCGCGCTTGCCTGGCATGCGTGTGGCCCAGGTTCGATCCTCAGCACCACATACAAATAAAGATGTTATGTCCGCCGAAAACTAAAAAATAAATATTAAAAAATTCTCTCTCTCTCTCTCTCTAAAAAAAAAATATATATATATATATAGATAGATAGATAGATAGATAGATATAGATATATAGATAAATAGATAGATAAAAATAAAATGAAAAGAAGCCAGGCACAGTGGTGCACACCTGTAAATCCAGCAGCTCCAGAGGCTGAAATGGGAGGATCGTGAGTTGAAAGCCAGTTTCAGCAATTCAGTGAGATGCTGTCTCTAAATAAAATACAAAATAGGACTGAGAATGTGACTCAGTGGTTGAGTGCCCCTTAATTTAATCCCCAGTACCCCATAAAAATTTAAAAAATAAAATGAAATGAAAAGGGTTGGGGGTATAACTCAGTGGTAAAGCACCCCTTAGTTCAATCCTAGTACCAACAGGGGAAAAAAAAAAAAACTAAACATTTCTGCTCTGGCTATATAGTTTTTGTTTTATTTAGTGTGTGTGTGTGTGTGTGTGTGTGTGTGTGTGTGTGTGTCGCTGGGGATCAAACCCAGGCCCTTGCTAGGCCAATACTCTACCATTAAGCTATACTCCCAGCTCCTTATACAGTTTTTAAATTTTAACTTACTTTCATTCTGTAGTATGTTAATGGCATCATCTATAATGCAATCTGGCGAAAATCCTGAAGTCTTTGATAATAAACCCAACAATGATGCAATTTTCAGTCTCACAGATGGATCATTTTCCTTGAATAAAAGAAACAACTGTCATCTTGATGCTTTACTCTTAGCTAACCAACAAACAGGAACAGAATATGGGAACATAATATGCCAAAAGAGATTCAGAGATCCAAGTATTCTAAGGCTTCATTTCTGAAAAATTAACCTGATACACTTCAGGAGAGAGTTTTTTTCAATCAGTTTTTCCCCTCTTCCATTTGTGACACCCAAATACTGCAAAATGAATGGAAACTTCTATTTAATGCCTTCCTGATATCATTACCTTCTTACCAAAAATGTGCAGTTGGTACCTTAACTCCACCGTGTAGTCATGTCAGACTTAAGTCACAGCCACTTATACCACCAACAATGTCAGGCCTAAGCACCCAATATTGTTGCAAGTAACAGGCTCTGGAAGTCTCTGGAGAATCTTTTAATATATCTATTTTTTCTTTTCTTTTTTCTATTTTTTTTTCTTCCCGGCACTGGGGTACTTAAATCAGGGGCACTTTACCACTGAACTACATCCCTCAGCACCTTTACCACCCCCCTTTTTTTCAGGGGAGTACTGGGGATTGAACTCAGGGACACTCAACCACTGAGCCACATCCCCAGGCCAATTTTGTTTTTTATTTAGAGACAGGGTCTATCTGGTGCTTCGCTTTTGCTGAGACTGGCTTTGAACTTGCAATCTTCCTACAGCCTCCTGAGCTGCTGAGATTATAGGCATGCACCACCTCACCCACTTCCCTGCCTTTTTGAGACAGAATATCATCAAGTTGCTGAGGTTGGCTTTGAATTTACAATCCTCCTGCCTCAGTCTCCTGAATCACTGGAATTACAGGTGTATGCCACCACACCCAGCTTCTACCTACTTTTTCATTCAGATCATAAGATCCTAATTAGAAGACTGGGGCAGGCAAGTATAATTGGCTGAGTATAGGTCACCTCCCTAAGCCCCAGCTATAAGGTAGACTGAGATATGAGCAGACTGGCCATTTTAATTTTGATAATGAGACATGATCTCTAATAAGCACCAAGATTCCTGTGGTGAGAAATCTCTTCCCAAGACTAAAAGGAACATGTCCCTTTGTTCAAAATTATAATTAAGTGCATAAATAGCATAATAACCACCAATAAAAAACTGTTCAAAAAATATATGTGTAATGTCAGTGCTGAGATTAGGTAATATTTCTATACTAAAGACAAAAATTATTTAAATGTATACTCAAAGGATGAAGGTCTTGCAAATAAGACCAACTCTTAACCTCCCACCTATTGTTTCTCAGGAGAAACCAGGTACAACAAAAAGACCTCAAGTGAAAGAAGGGACAATAGACATGTAGTCAGCAGAACTAAAATCCTGGCATGCTATCCTATTGTACACAAACTTAGAAACATAATTTTTGCGGGAACTTAATCTTAAAGTATAAGATACAACAAAAACAGAAAGGGCTTTGCAATCGGCCAGACTTAGGTGTGACACTCAGTTCATTATTCAACATCTCTATATATGTGTTGTAAAGAGGTAATTAACCTCTCAGAACCTTACCTGTGAAATGAGGCTAATAATCTCAGAGGGCTACTGAGGGGAAATGACAAGCATAAAAATGAGCACACATTAGGCAGTCAGATAGTAGTACCCTAGTATTATTTCCTTCAGCTAATGTTGGGTTAATTCTTTTTTCTGGTTAGATTCTTGATGAGATTAATAAATAAAATATATTAAACTCCCAAAACTCAAAAGAAAAAACAAACAAGCTTTTACAAAAATGGGCAAAGAACTAGGCATTTCTCTAAAGAAGATATATAAATAGCTAAAAAGTAGATGAAAAGATGTTCAACATTACTAATCATTAGGGAAATACAAACCAAAACAACAAAGAGATACCACCTCACAACCATTAGGATGCTACCATCAAAACAACAAAAACAAGTGTTGCCAACTATATGGAAATATGGGTGTGGTGGTGCACAACTGTAATCCCAGAGACTCAGGTGGCTGAGGCAAGAGGATCTCAAGTTCAACACCAGCCTCAGCAACTTAGCAAGACTCTGTCTCAGAATAAAAACTAAAATAGGGCTAGGGATGTACCTTAGTGGTAAAGCACCTCTGCTTTAATCCCCAGTACCACCCCACCCCACCCCGCCAAATTTTAAGAGTGGTTAGGGGAAAGATGGGATATAGCTCAGTGATAGAGCATGTGGTTTAGCATGTGCAAGGTCTTCGGTTCTAATTCCAGCACAACACAAAAAGAGAAATAAAGAATAATGGCTACTTTGCTAAGAGAGAGATATACATTGCAGTTAGATATGAGGGCCTTAAATTAGGACAGGAATAGCAGAAGAAGAGAACATTTCATTCCAGAAATGAATCTGGTTACAGAGGGGTCATAATTGATATTAACTCTTCCTTTGTGTTCCCACTGCTCTTTGTATATACTAAGCAAACAGTACTTGTCTCCATGGGGTATACTGTAAGCTTCCGAGGACAGGATTTGCATCTTTTATTATCTTTGTATTCATAGTGCCTACAAATGGAAGATAATAAAAGCTTGCCACATGAACACCTTCTTATTTATTTACAATAGTAACACAGTCTACAGACATAATACCATTCTTACACATAATCCCATCAGGTCCTCAAAATCTTCTTACCTTGTAATAATGTTCCAGAAGAATTCTGACCACTCCCTCTACACTTTCTGCCTCCACAGGCTTTCTGGCAAACTGGAGTAGGTACTGCAAAGCATCTGCTGGGGAAGTAGCTTTACACAAATCTATATGAAGTGCTGCAGATTTACTTGGTTTTGTCAGTCGAAGTTTCTTAGTAGCAATTTCCTCCTGTTGTTGCTAGAAGAGAGTAGAGAACATAAGATATTAAAACCTAATTGAAAACACAAAGTCTGCAAATTAAACTTTGCCTAATTTGATGGAAATAATTTTCCCTTATAGTAAATACTATATTTAGTTAATAGACCTAGCCTTACAAAAAACAGTATGTAAACTGGAAAAAGAGCACTGAATTGGTGACATGGCTGAGTCATAATTTTGCTTTCAATGACCTCTACAACTTTGGGCAAGTTACTGAATTTCTCTATGTCTCAGTTTCTTTCTCTAGAAAATGGGTGTACTAACATTCTGTTCTAACCTATCTCTATGGATTATGGTAGCTTTAGAGTTAAGAGGCAACATAAATGATATACTCTATTCTTCTTCTTCCTAATCCATTCCTTATTAAATAAGATGTATCAAGAGCCAGCTGTGGTGGTACACACATCTATAGTCCCAGCACTTGGAAGGCTGACATAGGACAGTTTGAGCCCAGGAGTTTGAGACCATCCTGGGGACCACAATGAGATTAAGGAAGAGGAGGAAGAAAAAAGAGGAGGAGGAAGAAGAAGAAGGAGAAGGAGGAAGGAGGAAGGAGAAGGAGAAGGAAGAAGGAGAAGAAGGAAGGAAGGAAGGAAGAAGAAGAGAATATCAATTCTAAAAAAAAAATATTGAGAATTTGCTAATGCTCAGCAAGCTCAGCTTCCCTTCTTAGAAAACTAGAACTGAATAGGACAATTTGACCACTGACAAAGAGAATAGCTGTAGGATTCAAACACATCAAGTACATTTTAATTCATGAGTTCATATTGATATTAAGAAAATCACTGTGATTTTTGGAACATCCTAGGGAACCAACTTAGCATCTTCAGAACTGGTAAATAAATGGAAAATAAGGTTTTCATGCTAACTTTCCTACAACATTTATGCCTAGGGTAACTAATTTGTTGGTTCCATTTTTTTAATATTTATTTTTTTAGTTTTAGGTGGACACAATATCTTTATTTTTGCTAAGGATCGAACCCAGTGTCTTGTGCATGCTAGGCGAGCACTCTACCACTGACCCACAACTGCAGCCCCCAACCAGTTTTTTTTAACAAGATTACTCTAACAAAGAAAGATTGATATAATACTGTATAATCACTTTGGCAACCCTAAATGAATGCTTGAATCTACTAAGCAATAATCATTAATGGCTGACGATATCCCACACAAAGAAAAACAAACAAAGATGAAACAGTCGTGAAGAGAAGGAGAAGGAGAAGGAGAAGAAGGAGAAGAAGAAAACAAAAATCTCCAAAACAGGGGCTGGGGATGTGACTCAAGTGGTAGCATGCTTGCCTAGCATGCATGAGGCACTGGGTTCAATTCTCAGCACCACATAAAAATAAAATAAAGATATTGCGTCCACCTACAACTAAAAAATAAATATTAAAAAAAAATCTCCAAAACAGACCTGAATTCAAGCTAACTTCCAAGATTAAATTTAAAAGAAACAGGGAACCGAGGAACATGTTAAACAACACCACAAATATGAAATCAGCAAAATGTAGGAAACTTAGAGGGCAAAGAAATAGTTTCTTCAACCACAACAAAAATAAAATTATGAGAAAAAACTAGAAGTGGACATTAAAGCCACAGATTAATAAAACTAAAAACCACATCAACCAACTGCAATATGTAGGCTTTTGTAACCTGATTCAAACTTGGAAAAACTATAAGACAATCAGGGAAATGTATATACTGATAATTAATGATAATTAAGATGTCAATTTTGCTAGGGCATGGTGGTGCAGCACGGGAGGCTGAGGTAGAAGGATCATGAGTTCAAAGCCAGCTTTTGCAGCTTAGCTAGGCCCTAAACAACTTATGGAGACCCTATCTCTAAATAAAATACAAAAAGGGCTGGGGATGTGGCTCAGTGGTTAAGTCCCCTGGGTTCAATATCCAGTTCTCCACCCCAAAAAGTCAATTTCTTTAGATATAAAAATGGTATTGGGTTATTTTCATAAATCCTTAACTTTCAGAGATACATATTAAATTAGTTACAGATGAAATAATGATTTGGATGTGTTTGAAAAAAAAGGTAGGGTAGGGAGACTAGCTGAAGTACAGATGACAATTGAAATTAAATGATGGCTACATCAAATTTAATAAACTATTTTTCTGTTTTTAGGGGAAAAAAGAGGAAATAAAACTAAAACTGAAGCCAGACATGGGGACACATGTCTGTAATCTCAGCTACTTAGGAAGCTAAGACAGGACTATCACAAGTTTAAAGCCAGCATGGGCAATTTAGTTGAGACCCTGTCTAAAAATTTAAAATTTTTTTTTTTTTTTTTTTTTGGTACCAGGGACCACTGAGCCACATCCCCAGCCCTATTTTGTACTTTTTTTCAGAGACAGGTCTCACTGAGTTGCTTAGCACCTCACTTTTGCTGAGGCTGGCTTTGAACTTGCAGTCCTCCTGCCTTAGCCTCCAGAGCTGCTGGGATTACACGTGTGAACCAACGTGCCCGGCTAAAATTTTAAATTTTTAAAAAGGACTGGGAATATAGCTCAGCAGTAGAGTGACCCTGGGTTCAATCTCCAGTAGGAGGGGAAGTATCAAGGTAAATCCCAAAGTATTACAAGAAAAACCCAACTAAGCAAACTAACTTCTCTATAAGACTATGTGCCCATGCTACAAAGATGTGCCCAAAAAATACAGGAAATGACCATTAAGCTGTAAATAAAAACTGTGAGATCACAAAGGGCTTGGGAATTTGGTTTTAGAAAAAAGAGGAGTTCCTAATGAGTATAGAAGACTTGAAGACTTGATTTGTCAATACAAGTATCTGTATTATAATCCTAGATACACTGTTCTGGCTCTCCTAAAAGGCAAGAACACAGTTATGTATTAATTAGACTTTGTGGCCCAACACTTTTTATCATGCCTGGTACAAAGTAATTACTCATTCATAAACTCTTGTTTGTTTGAAATTTTTTATTGTTTGTGTGTGTTTTGCTGAAGACTGAATCAGGAGTGGTACATCCCTAATCGTTTTTTTTTTTTTTTTTTTTTTTTTAAGTTATACATGGACACAATGTCTTTATTTCGTTATTTATTTTTATGTGGTGCTGAGGATGGAACCCAGGGTCTAACATGTGAGAGGCGTGCGCTCTACCGCTGAGACACAATCCCAGCCCATCCCTAATCTTTTTTGAAACAGGGTCTCACTAAATTGCCAAAGCTGGTCTGGAACTTGAGATCTTCCTACCCCAGCTTCCAGAGTTTCTGGGATTAAGGCGCATGCCACCCGCGCCTGTAAAACATGTCAATCATTCGTTTATTCAACAAGAGTTTACTGCGGGACGCGCCACGCAGGTAATTTCAGCGGCTCCGGAAGGTGGGACAGTTAGACCGCGAGTTCAAAACCAGCCTCAGCAACTTAGTGAGGCCCTAAGCAACTCAGTGAGACCCTATCTCTTAAAAAAGGGGGGGGGGGGGCCGGGGGATGGGGCTAGGGGATTAAATCCCCCTGGGTCAAACCCCGGTACCAAAAAAAAAAAAAAGAGAGAGAGAGAGTTTTTTGTAGGGCGCTGTGTGGGACTGTTTGAGCAACAATAGTAGGGCGCTTGCCTCACATGCCTGAGGCACTGAGTTCGATGCTCAACACCACATAAAATAAGTAAGTTCAATAAATAGAGAAAATAAAGGCATTATGTCCATCTACAACTTAAAAAAAAAAAAGTAAAAATAAAGGGCTGTGGATGTGGTTCAGTAGTAGAGCACTCCTGAGTTTAATAACGGCAAATAAAGCCTGGGAAGCAGAACACCAGATGATTTGGAATCAGCCTCTTTAGAAACACATCAAGCACCTGACACGGGCTTGGCCCACCTGTCTTTAAATAATTCCTACAATTCCGAGAGAGGAAAATATTTCCCTCCTTTTTAGGTGCGCTGTTCCACCACTGAAGAGCTCTACCCCAAGGAACCTTGCCTTCGAGTGTTTTGACTGGACCTCGAGGCATTCCACTTGACCCCTCTCCTAATTCTTGAATAATCTGCATATGGCCCAACTTGTCTCTGGGAGTTTGGGGGACCGAGTTGGGAGAAGCTCTGCCACTACCTGACAGAGATCTAGTATATCGCCGGAAGCCTCAATGTCAGTGTCCGTAAAACAAGGATGCAACCGTAAGTCGATCTAACATGGTTTTGCGAAAGAACAAAATGAGATAAAGGATAAAGAAAAAAAAACTCTGTAAATTGTAAAGCGCTATTTGTTTCTTCTAATAATTTTTAAACGTCAGACCACACATATTCATAGCGGCTATAATCTAACACGCCCACTAACTTGCAGTCTCAGAGTACGTATGTCAGAGTGTCGGCACCTAATACAGGAAGTGGAGCCTGCTTGGGGGGCCCCTAGGGTACAGATAAACTTTACCACCCAGGACCGGTCCCGGGACCCTCTCTGCCGGAGCTTACCTGAACCACTTTAGTGAACTCCTCATAAACCCGCTTTTTAAGGTGCGCCGCCATGGCTGCCCCCGAGCCCTTTCGGCCTCCGTACACAACGACGTAGGCGGGATAGAGTTAGGCGAAAACCCTTCTCCCGGAAGGAACCCGCCGCGATCCCACAATGCCGCGGGGTTTCAGGAAAGAGAACGCTTCTTGCCGCTCCGCTGCCGCCCGGCTCTGCTTGCAGATTTAGCTAGCTGCTTTGACTCTACCGGTGGAGGAACGAAAAGGAGAGCTCTGCATGGAGGAGGCGGAGCTTCCGGAGGGAGAAAGGAAAAGAGGGAGGTTAAAAGGAAGAGGCGGGACGAGCCTCAGCTAGAGAGAAAACCTGGAGCTGCTTCAGTGCCTTAATCTGAGAATTAAGGAAAGATGCTGAGATGTTTGAACCTTGAGGGTCGTTTTAGTTCAAACTGTGCTCCACGCCTACCCTACCCTGAGGTGCCTTTTCCTGCTCCCTCCCTCTTTTACTGCCAATCTAGCCCAGGAACCTTCACTGGTTCCCAGAATGGCTGAATTCGACCGCCCGACCTCATAAGAAATAAGCAAATAATTTGAATTATATGCAGTTTGATCAAACTAGGGATAAGCAGCTATATTGATTATACCCCATCCTACAGAAGCTGTTAAAATTTATAGAAACAAAAGTCAGTTTGTGCTAGACAGGACTTGTCAAGGGGCAGTTACTGTTCTCAGTTTCCTTGGAATCCCCCAGGCCAGGGGAATGGACAAACCTTCAGCCTTTACTCTCAGTGTGAGAAAATGGAGGATGCAGAAAAAGTTAAGGAAGTTGTCCTTAATGTCAATCTGTTTCAACTCCAGATATCCAAGTTACCCATCTTTTAAGGAATCAATACCTCGTCTGATCCTGGGGTACAGGATCAAGCAACAAAGTTTCAGAGTCAGGCACTGGCATTTGAACAAGTGGCTTCAACCATAAGTGTGTTTAAAATGCCTAAATTGAGCTGGGCACAGTGGCCCATGCCTGTAATCCCAGCGGCTCAGGAGGCTGTGACAGGAGGATCACAAGTTCACAAGTTCAAAGCCAGCCTCAGCAATTTAGTGAGGCCCTAAGCAACTTAGGAAGACTCTGTCTCAAAAAATAAAAAGGGAATGGGGATGTGGCTCAGTGGTTAAGCACCCTTGAGTTTAATTCCTGGTATTTAAAAAAAAAAAAAGTTAATATGGTTTACTTGAATAAAAATGGGAGGCTGGAAGGTACAGAAGACTCCAAATGCATGAAAGATGTCTACCCTCAGAGTCCTCCAATCTAATTTGAAAAACAACAAAAATTTATTGTTTCAAGATAACCTAAGTGTGTTGGATAAAAGACTGGTTCAGACCTAAATTTCTTCAGGGTGTATCAGAAGAGATTATTTTACAGCCAGTTTTGGTGGTACACGTGATCTGTAATCCCAACTACTGGAGGAGGCAGGAGGATTGCAAAGTCAAAGCCAATCTAGGCAATTTAGAATATGTCTCAAAAGGGCTGGGGATGTGGCTCAAGCGGTAGCGCGCTCGCCTGGCATGCGGGCGGCCCAGGTTCGAGCCTCAGCACCACATACAAACAAAGATTGTATCCGCCGAAAACTAAAAAAAAAAAAAAAAGTATGTCTCAAAAATAAAATGAAAAAGGTACTGGGGTGTAGCTTGGTGGTAGAGCACTGCCTAGCATGTGTGAGGTCCAGGGCTCAGTCTCCAGCATCATATTACAAATATAAATACACGCCCTATTTCTATTTCTCAGATCTGACATTACTAGTTACCAATCGTCCACTCTTGAACTAGCTAGGTCTCTGGCAAACTAGGAATGGGCCTGGGTTTTTAGTCCTTAAGGATCACCTTGCAAAGGGGGAAAAAAAAAAGGCACAGCAGGAAGGGTAGAGAAGGATGGAGGAAATAAGTAGAAAATGTTTTAAAAGTAGCAAAGGGGTATCCTAGAATAACAGCGTAAACCTGAAAATGTGATGTGATGCAGTCCTATGAACTAGGGTGTCTTATAAATATTGTTTTTTCTTTGGATTGTAATGGCAGCTATGTTTCAAATTCAATTTTAAGTTTTCATCTTCTAATTTTCGTTGTTGTACGGAGGATTGAATCCAGGGGGTGCTACCACTGAGCCAGATCCCCAACACCTTTTTTTTGGTGGGGGAGAGGGAGTACTGGGGATTGAATTTAGAGGCACTATACCACTGAGCCACCGAGATCTCCAGCCCTATTTTGTATTTTGTTTAGAGACAGGGTCTCACTGAGTTGCTTAGTGCCTCACTAAATTGCTGAGGCTGGCTTTGAACTTGTGATCCTCCTGTCACAGCCTCCTGAGCCGCTGGGATTACAGGCATGTGCCACCACCCCTGACACTTTTTATTTTTAGTTAGGTCTATACACTGATCTGCGCCATACAGTAATTTCTACTCCTCGATCAAATTGGTGATTAGGACAAGGCCATGACTTTAAATTAGACGATTGATCCCTCAGTGTGGGGTAGATCAGTAAATTGTCCTTCGTCTTAAATTAATGAAACTCTATAATAGTAGTTTTCAATCTGAACTGTACAATGGAATTATCTGAAGGAACTTTGAAACACATTCTTACCTGGGCTCTGCCTCTAGAAATTCTGATTTATTTCTAGGGTTCCCTGAGTATGGCCTGGACATTGGAGAATTTGAACTCTCTCCAGGTGATCCTGAAGGACAACCCAAATTGAGAACTGCTGCTCTAATTCTGAGCAATCATTAAGGGATTGGTAAACTTCTCAAGAAAAACAACTTATAAGGTCTTACCAGAGTTGGAAGAGACTTGTATTATCATTTGAGACTGAGAGAGTCAAGCAATAGGATGAGCCAAAAAAAAGGGGTTCCCCTACCATGGAGACTGGACTTTTTTCTCAAGAATAATACATCAAAAAATACTTGGTACAATGGTACATACCTACAGTCCAAGCCACTTGGGAAGCTGAAGCAGAGAATCCCTTGAGCCTAGGAGTTTTAGGCCCGTCTGGGCAACATAGAGAGATCCTGCTTCAAATACATGGACAATAACCATAAAAAAATAAAAAAGTGGGTACTTGACATGGACACTCCCATAATCCCAGCTACTCAGGAGGCCAAGGAAGGAAGATTGCAAGCCAATCTGGGAAACTTAGTTTTGTCGTGGAGTGGAATGGAACAGAGGAGAATGGAATGGAGGGATGACATGTAAATCAGTGGTAGAGCTCTTGCATAGCATTTGGGATGCCCTGTGTCCAACCCCCAGTACCACAAGACAAAAAGAAAACTTGAGTCAGGTGTGGTGGCACAGACCTGTAATCCCAGCAGTTTGGGAGGCTGAGGAAGGAGGATAGCAAGTTCAAGTTCAAAGCCAGCCTCAGCAATTTAGCAAGGTGCCAACAACTCGGTGAAAACGTGCCTCTAAATAAAATACAAAATAGGGCTGTGGATGTAGCTCAGTGCCTCTGAGTTCAACCCATGGTACAAAAAAAAAAAAGAAAGAAAGAAAACTTGGTTACACAAGCAATCCAACAACCCCAAATCTGGAGTTTCCAAAGGAATGGGCTAAATCACCTTTGTAGGTTGTAAACATTAGAGAGAATTGCTCAGCCTTTTGAAGAATTGCAAGGTACAGAAAATTTTAAGTGTTCCCAAGAAGTCAGGCTCCAAACCTGACAGAAGCTTTTGGATTTTGTTTGAAATATATGACAGAGGCACTGCAGCAGGTAAAGGTATCATGAAAGGAAGAAATAAAATATTTTGGGGGCTGGGTATGTGGCTAAAGCGGTAGCACACACGCCTGGCATGCGTGCGGCCCGGGTTCGATCCTCAGCACCACATACAAACAAAGATGTTGTGTCCGCCAAAAACTAAAAATTAAATATTAAAAAAATTCTCTCTCTTTAAAAAAATAAAATATTTTTGTGTAAGAGCTGGATATAGACATTTTTGGTCCCATAAGGGGGCAAAGCCAGACGTCTCTGGGCACATATAGTCTCTCTTGAGTGGACTCCTGGATCTGTCCCAACAGAACAACCATTCCAAAGGAAAAAGAAACAAATTGAAGGTGAACTGGGGAGGCAGTAGGGTGAAGAATTCATCTCAATTTGCTTGGGACCTTCTGATTTTGGGTTATGGAGTCCTGTGCCTCAGGAAACCTTTCAGTCCTGAAGAGTTTGCCAAATTACAAGTCAAGGGTGGGGGCCATGTGTCTCAGAACTGAACTTGAAAGATAAATGTCCAGATTACCTTCCTTAAAATTTAGTACTGTCTTAGGTTGAGAAGCAGAAGCAGAACATAAACTCTTTAACAAGTGGTTTATTGAAGAATTAGTGCTCTTAGAAAGGGAGTAGGAGCAATGTAGACAAGCTAAACAAGAATGTGCTTCCAAGTAAGACTGACCCCAGCCTGATCTCACAAGAAACTCTGCAACAGAAACTTGAAGAAAATTGAAGCTCAGCACGGAAACAATTTAGAAGGCTGAGGCAAGAGGATCACAAATTCAAGGTCAGCCTTGGCAACTTAGAAAGACCCTATCTCAAAAAGGAATGATACAACTCAGTAGGGTAGGGTTCCCCCAGGTTCAATCCCCAGTACTGGGGAAATTTTTTTCCTTATGTAAGTCAGGGGCCAGTCTTTTATACTTTTGTCTGAGAGGTGGAAGTTTTTTTCTTTTTCTTGAGGTACTGGGAATTGAACCCAGGGTTGTTCTACCAAGCTACATCTCCAGCCTTTTATTTGTTTATTTTGAGACAGTTTTACTAAGGTACTAGGTGGGCCTCAAACTTACAATCCTCCTGCCTCAGCCTCCTGAATAGCTGGGATCATAGGTGTGCACCACAGCACCCAGCTTTTTTACCAGAATATGTCTCAAAATTAAGAGTGATTGGAACCACTCAGAGGGAGCTGGGGATGTAGCTCAGTAGTAGATCACTTGCCTAGCACACCCAAGGTCCTGGACTCAATCCCTAGTACCACATATACAAACAGAATCATCCAGAGGGCCTGGTAAACTAGGATGCTAGACTGATGCTCAGAGATTCTAACTCAGTATGTCTGAAGTGGAGCCTGAGAATGTATATTTCTAACAAGTTCCCAAAGAATGCAGATATCATACTTTGAAAAATACTGTTCTAGAGAAGAGGACAGCTATGGGGCTTCCACAAACACATACAGCTACTGGTGAAGGCAATCTGGGAAGCATCTACTACAGGTACT